GGGGGGGGGGGGGGAGGCGGTGTGTGCGCGCCTGTGGGTCGGGGAGGTCAGTCTGTGTGCCGTTGCGGAGGGAGGGAGGGAGCGCTGTTGGAGGGATGTGGAGGGATGGGGCGTGTGAGTCAGGAAAGACGAGGGCGTGGCGTGCGAGCATGGGTGCGTGAGTGGTGGAGCGTAGCAGGCACAGACCTCTGTCTGTTGAGGGCTGTGTCTGTCTGTGGCGATTCAAGCGAGATGTCAATCAGCCCACCCAGTGAGTGTCCTTCCTTTATCGTCAAGTGTGTGTACCACGTGCCGTATGTCCGTGTTTATCCCGCCACCCATCCATCCAGCCATGGCATTGCATCATGTGTGGCAGTCCGTGTGTTTGTCCCGTTGCTGTCTACGTCAGTATGTCCGTGTGCCCCTTTATGTAGGCCTTCCCTGCATGCCTTGACGGTCGTGTGCATCCACACACTGCTTGCTGCATGTCCGTGTGGGTGCAGTGCAATGAATTCGATCCTGGCTCACCAAGTCACGCCGTGCCTTTACGGTGCGAGCTGAGGGATCCTGAGACTTTTCTGCTTTGTCTTTGGAAGAAGCAGCGATCTCAGCTGCCCCTTCTGTCAGCTCGATCTCAGCTGCCCACAGTGGATGCCCGTTGCGGTCCCGACCGCAACGGCCCGCCGACCGCAACGGCGCACCAGATTCGTGCGTGTCCCCGGCTGCCGAAAGCACCATGACAGCGGTCGCACTGAGTCTCCGCCTTTCTCTCCTCATCGCTGTGTGCCTCGCCCTCTACACCTTCCCCCGTGCTCACGCCCAATGCAGTCTGTTCAATCCCCCGGGGGAATTCTGCAGTACGCAGAACACACACCTGACAGACAGCCACACAGACGCCTTATCCGCCCTCGCGTGTGTTGCTGTTGATTGGCTTTGTGCAGGCTTGTCAGCTGGCGACACAGAGGCTAAGGAAGGTGATATAGTGGCTTTCAGGAATGTGGTTGCCGGTCAGGATCTGTGGGCCAAGGACGATGTGTTTGTCGAAGACGATCTGTTTGTTAATGGTGACAGGGTGGGGGCCCCCTCTGCCAACGTGAAAGCCAGAAGTAAGCAACAAGGAGCAGCAGGTCCGGTCATCCGCTTCACTCTGTGTGTGTGTTTCTTGGTGTGTCTTTCAACACAGGCCTGACTGCCGGCAATCCTACGGATCCTTATGCAGGCCACGCTGGCAACATCGTGGCAGAGAGAACCGTATGGGCTGGACATCGGGTTGTGTCACGGTATATCGGTTCGGATACACACATCCATGCGGCAGGACGGATCAGCGGAGGACAGGGGTGCAGATGCGGCGCGCGAATCATTTCGCGGGCCTTTGAGCTGAGCGCCACCGACAACCTGGCAGACGCAGAGTGGGGCGGGAGGAATCGATCAGCAGCGTATGAATCCTTCAGGCAGCTGCATCTCCGCACCGACCCGCACGACAGGCTGTCGCTGGCCGCCAAGGACGTCAGCCGCCTCTTCCCATCGGCAGTGCGGACATACCCGAAGATCATTCGGAGGAGGGCGGCAAGGAGCGGACGACCATCGACCTGACCCAGCTGATCTTCACGCAGATGTCTGTCATCCAAGACCTCCAGGCCCGCATGGCCCTTTTCGAGCGCGGCGCCAGCAGTCAGCCCACACACACTGGTAGCACAGTGATCAATGAATGATAGCCAAACGCGCTCACCTGTCTGTCTGTCTGTCTGTGTGTGTGTGTGTGTGTGTGTCTGTGTCTCTCTGTGGTTGGTCTAGGCCAAGGCAGCAAGGATGGCGACGCCGCTGGTGGTTCACCCTCAAGTGTTCGAGGGAGCGGCGGCAACAAGTGACGTGTCTTGTGAGCGATGAGTGTCCGGGTGTCCTGATGGGTGTGTATATCTTTTCGGTGTGTACTAGTGCGCACTTGTATGTATTGTATGCCCTGACTGGAGAGAGAGGCGACTGAATCGTAGAGGGGCTGCCGGGGGGCACATGAGCCTGTGTGTCTGTCTCAGTGTGTCTGTGTCTGAGGCTGTGTGTCTAGGCCAGCAGAGGGTGTTGTTGCCGTGACCACATGTGTTGGCTGATGATGGGTGAATTAGCGGTGTCGGCGGTCAAACTGCCACACCCGCAGAGAGCGAGAGAGAGAGAGAGAGAGAGAGAGAGAAGGAGTGGCCAAATCTGGGCGTGCCTCCCTGTCTCTCTCTCTCCCTGCCTCCCTGCATGTGGTGTTACGTTTTTCTGCAGTCTGTCTGTCTATCTCTTTGTATGCGTGTTGTGCCCACCCCTGCTGTCTGCACGTGTGTCTGGTCTGGGTGGCGGAAGAGTGCTATCTCCCTCCCCCTCCGCACGTGTCTCCCTCCGCTGAAGTGTTGCGGGTCTAGCTACTTTTGCACCTGCTGACACCGAAAGTGTCTGCGATGGTTGTGTGATTTTTGCAATCATCTCGACTAGCAAGCACTGAGTCATCTCGACTAGCGAGCACTGAGTCGTCCCATACATGGGGTGCATGTGGCCGCACAAGTCGTGTGGGGGTACTATGGCTTACTTGCGCTACGTGTGCTGCCCTGGTTGGTGTCTGCGTGTTGGGTGCCTTGTGTGTGTGTGTGTGTGTGTTGACTGGCCGGTCAGCTGCAGTGGTCCTCCGAAACAGGGAGGTGCTGACGTGCCTGCATAGATCGGCAGACACACACAGTGCCACGTGCCTGATGCATTGGATGGATGGATGATGCGTGTGAGGGAGATGCGACGTGTGACAATGGGACATTGAATTGCGGGGGCGGGACGCACAACAGGCACATGAGACACATGGGGATGAGAGCACTGAAACCGTCAAATGAATGCAACAATCATCAGAAGGCACTCTCGCCCCTTCCCTCTGATGAACAATCCATCACCGACTGCCTGTTGCTTGCATCCGCAGGGACTCAATCTGACGCGCCGCAGGAGCCGTAAGTGCGTCGAAAGACAGCTGAGACTGATACAGTAGGATAGACAGGCCGGGCCGCAGTCTTGTTCAGATGCTGTGGGCTGGCAGTAGTGTGTGAAATGGTCCCTGGTTGCTGCCAGTCAGTCAGTCAGGGCCCTGATATGATCCCGCAGTGTATTCTTTTTTGCGTAGTCATCCTTGAATGTCTCTCGTCGATGAAACATACACCCTGAGCTGTGCACTGTCTGTGTGTCTCTCTGTCGGTCTGTCTGTCTCTCTGTCTGTGAGTGCCGAGGTATTGGGAGGGAATGACAGACAGAGATGCGAGGGGGACGGACGGAGGGAGGGAGGGGAGGGAGGGAGGGACAGCGGCCGGACAGTCATCCAGCCGGCTGCATGTGTGCTGAGTGTGTGAGCCTTCTTGTCGTTTCGGTGGCCTCTTGAGTGATCGAGGGGTGTGAGAGTGAGGTTGACAGATCGATGGATGGATGGATGGATGGATGGACGCCGTCACTACAGTCAATGCATTCATGCATCCGTGCGGATGTGCATGTCCATGTCCATACAGACTTGCTTACCTGAATGTGTGGATGAATCTATCTATGGCGATTTTGGTATCCGAGCCCAATTATTCACTGCATTCACTGCATCGAACCAGTGTGTTCGTTCGTTTGTCTGGATGAATATATATGCCGGCATGGACATGCACACGGACATGCAGCAAGCAGTGTCTGGATGCACACGACCGTCAAGGCATGCAGGGAAGGCCTACATAAAGGGGCACACGGACATACTGACGTAGACAGCAACGGGACAAACACACGGACTGCCACACATGATGCAATGCCATGGCTGGATGGATGGGTGGCGGGATAAACACGGACATACGGCACGTGGTACACACACTTGACGATAAAGGAAGGACACTCACTGGGTGGGCTGATTGACATCTCGCTTGAATCGCCACAGACAGACACAGCCCTCAACAGACAGAGGTCTGTGCCTGCTACGCTCCACCACTCACGCACCCATGCTCGCACGCCACGCCCTCGTCTTTCCTGACTCACACGCCCCATCCCTCCACATCCCTCCAACAGCGCTCCCTCCCTCCCTCCGCAACGGCACACAGACTGACCTCCCC